TAGACCCTTTAGTAATGGATTTTTGTGTGTTGGGGGAAGGGGAGGGCTTGGCAGAGGTAAATGTACTGGAAAAGAATCTTGGAGAGACTCTGATGTATCTGAAGTGTCTGCTGCATTTCTGTGTGTATTGGGAGATAGATTTAAAGTGTGACAGTATTGGCTTTATCAGTACAGGGGCCTTCTCTTCTTGCTTTTGAAGTTTTACCAAGTACTAACTTGGATCACCTCAATCAGTTTAGCACCTGGAGTGGTAATGGTATCAACCTTAAATATTTTTACATCTTCTGTCTTTTCATCTTGCAGTTAAGGAAAACAAATCAGCTCTATTCAAATCTGTTCAAGAAATCTCTGTAAACTTACATTGCATATTAACAGCTTTGCCTCAATCGATCATAAAAAGGAACCAGTTTATTTACTAACTCAAGATTTAGGTGGTGATTTGAGAGCATAAATGTGAAAAGCAGTTCAGAAACATGCAGCAGAAATGTTTAGGGCATGACTTACTGTGACTTCCCAGTTACTTCCTTTTCTCTGCAGGTACACGAAGTCCTCGAGCTTAATGCACATGGATGTAGTATTACTTAGGAGACATCGGAGTTCACTGGCACAAGGTTGCTGCTGTCAGTTGATTTGTACCATATAGTAAATGCTTTTGCGCTATAAGCGTTTATAATAAGACATCTTTGTCTCTTTGGTCAGTGGAATCAATATTGTGTCATTGGATTACCAGTAATATTTCATACTTTTAAAAAGTATGTTTAAATAAATTCTGCCGAAAGTAAAATGAGATTTTATTTTGTGTTTTGGGCAGGAACCTGACGTTTGAAAATTATAAAATAACTTTTTGCTCAAAGGAGAAATGACTTCCAATTTCACTTAAAATATTTCTCATTTCTTCTTCGTCTTGAATAATCATCTCTTGAATTGAAAAATATTTTAAACCACTGCTTTTATGTTTGATGCAGTGCATTTCTGGGGCTTTCTCAAAAGAAGCGATTCAGTTCTGTCATACAGAGGTGGTACGTTTCCTGTTTCTCAGGCTAGAAAGCATACAAATCAGTCTCCTCTAAGACAAACTTATTCGTCCTTTAATTTCAGAGTTCTTAATAAAATCATTCTCCTTTTGAGTCCTAAACTGGGTGTTGATATGAACAAAATGTTTGGGGATTAGGCTGTTGATAGATAGCAATGGAGAACAGCACTTCAGAGCAAGGGGTAGCAGGTTTCACCCTGTGTTTTTGCATGTTCTGTGTGAGTTTACTTCATGGGGAAATTATTATTGTTTTCTATGAAATCTAGATCTGTACAACAGCACATGATGGATAACATGCAAGTCCTCTACTCTGCAGATATAGATAGATGTATTTATGCACTGAGAATGTGTATACAGTAACGTATTATACCTTAATCAATTTGATACAGATGGTAGCAGTCCTTCTGTTTGCCTTATAGCTGCATGTTGGCTTCGGAGGAGCTCCAAACAGGGTCTGCAGATCGAGTCTGTTCTGATACCGATAAGCCTGACTTTCCCCAGTAGTTGAGATGAGGTGTTGAAGCCATCCATCTAAATACTCGTTGTAAGATTGTTTGCCTTTCAAGTTGGGAGGTAGTTATCTGTAAGTGATCACTCGGGATGAAATCTTGGCCCTTGGTCACTTCTTAATAAGATCGTTATTAAGGCAGAGTGCCCGTTACTTTAATAGGGTTGAGACTCTGTTCTGGGGTTAAGTAAAATGAATTTGCCATCAGGAAGAAGGAAGTGGTGAGGAGCGGGTTGTTTGAAATGTCATTTTGTTAATTTGGATGCGTTGGTAGCTTGGTATGCTGCACTAAAATTAGATTGTATAAATAAGCAACCTTGCTCTCCTCAAAAGAAAATGGATTCAAAACATAATATAAAATCCATCTTAGCAAAACGGTGTATGTTTAAAATCTGTTTTAATAGGTGCACTATAAAATGAGTGTCACACTGAAATGAATTGCGACGGGTGGAGGGTTTCAGTGATGATACGAGGACTGTTTTGAATGTTAAATTTTATTGTTGGAATAAGTTTGTCATCTTCAGCCACACTTAAGAAGTGGTTTGAAAGGTCAAGTAGCCTTCAAGAAAGCCCCCCAAAAATGCAGTTAAGTATTTTTCTCAGGCTATCTTTTTTCCTTTCTGCCTGTAAGAGTGTACACTTAAGGAGCTACAGATAAAGCTTAGCATGGTGACTGTGTCAGGGGACTGCCCGAGGAAGGCTTTAAATTTTACAGCTACATTATCTTTCTGGCCGTAGTTAAGATAAAGATCCAATATAAAATCACTTTGGACTGTAATGTTTCCCTAAATGAAATGAAGGCGTTAACCTACTTGATTTGATACACTTTACCCTAGCTTATAAAGCTGGGAGGAAGGTGAGGTAAACTTTAATTAAAACTACACCACAGATCCCTTCTAGCACTGTGCCCTGTACCTTGCTAGGACTGTACAGTAAGCAAAATAAAATGTACCTCGCAGCCGAGGCAGCAGGCTGGAGCCGTGTTCAGTGAAAGTAATTTAATTAGTGTTGATCATGACTCCAGATGATGGTGATTTGATAAGGAATAATTTAGTACTTAACAGCCTTTTACATGCACCAACTCCATGTGGGAAGGTAAAGCAAATTGCACAAAATGAATGTGCTGCTTTCACTTGTGCCTGTGCCAGTGAGCTGGAAAACTGCCTGTTAGCAGACGTTCAGGCTCTCAGTGCTGTGATGAAATACCCAGCCAGTTCTCTGTGCAGGGCTGTGGTGTGGGAGTCTCTGTACTCCCGTTATTTAAAAATAAATAAGGGAAGTAGTTTTTCATAACAGATTAACTCCGAGGAAGTGGCAAAGTTAAAATTAAAAAAAAAATAAAATAAAAAAATAGAGCAGCATGTGGCCTTTGTGCGAATATGTGATACTGGCTTTAAAAAAAGAGTCTGGTGGCAGTCGCGTTTTAATTCTCTGATTCAAGTCAAAGAGATTGCCTACCTTTGCGTCAGAGCCACTGTCCTCCTGGAGTTGTGGGGCCCATCGTGCTGTCGTATGCATTAAATGTTGTGACGTGCATTATCTGACCAAGACGTGCAAGGAGAATTGGCAGTAAAAGTTCACTAGCAAAAACCTTAAACAAACTACCGGGCGTCAGCCCGCTTTGCGATTACAGTGGAAAGCTGACTGGGCTGCATTTTGTTGTATTATTAAATTTGAGAATCTTTCTTCAAGAAGTCTGTATGGTCTTTTATTTTAGTGCAAGTTCAGACAGTTTTATTCAGAAAGAATTCTCATCTTGTTGTGACATTGACCACTTTTCATCTGTTTCTTAAGTTACTGTGCTATGTGTATGTATTTGTGTACCTGTTTTACTGTCTGCTTTTCCTTTGTAATCTTTCCAGATAATTGACTGTTATCCATGAAATACAATAGCTGGATAGCAGTTTTGGAGACAATTCTTGTGAGTTTTGTGAAAATACATGGCAAATAACATAATACTATCTCGCAGTTGTCTCAGCTGAGAGGCAATAGTAGAAGCTGTCATGTAATAGGGTACGAGAGGACCCGTTTGTGAAACAGTTCTCTGAATGTTGCCCAACCGTGGGAAAATCCCTGAATCAGAATCTGGAATCAGATCTTACAGATACTTATAAATCAGAGTTTATTGGTTCTGATGCTCACTTAGACAGCATTTCCTTTACCTTCCTCTCCCCACTGAACACATGCGTGCGTATGCAGGTGCATTAGTCTCAGAAAATATACAGTGTGTAACCAATTGTCTTTTCTAAGTTTGAGTGCAAGGGAAGGGACAAGATACTGCTTGGTGGTGACTAATAATGGCCTGATTTTGCCCAGAGGTTCTCTTAACAGAGGCTGCTGCACGTACGTGGATTTCCGCAGAGGCACAAGTGTCTCTGTCAGGCTGGAGCGTGATGTTCAAACTGCGATGTTTTGGTGACAGCATCAAAAATTGGTGCTAAAATTGATCTCTGACTCTAGGATTCTCGGAGTTCAAAAATGTATTTACAACCTCATTTTATTTAAAACGTGAAGAGTGTGTTTCAAGCTGTTAAATACCTGTCTTAGCCCTTTGTCATCCTAGCCACTTACTTTAGATTGGTCTAGGTCAAGTGAACTTTGAATTTTCTTCTGCTTTAATTTTAGTTAAGGTTGGCTATGAAATAAGGAAAGTTGGCTGGCTTAAACTAATATGCTGGTTAACCTTGTCTTTATCTTTGACCTTTTTCTTAATCCAGACCAACTTGTGCTTCTAATTAATGCTGCATTTCTGTCACACTCCCTCTGTTCTTTTTACCTTTTAAAAAAGAATGTCCTTTTTTTTTCCTTGATTTGTGTCTATGTCACATTTACTATTGACTTTGGTGAGGCCAGGATTTTATCTTGTGTATTTTTGAGAAAAATTACTGAAGCCATCTCTTGTGTATTTTTTTCAGAGGTTATTTATAGCTAAAGGTGTTTGTAATCATCCAGTTTCATAAGTTTCACTGCAAATTTTCATGCATTCTGTGGGACAAAAAGATTACTGATCATATACTTGAGGCTGATACACGACAAATTTATTTTGGAGTCATTTGTGTGGCACTCTTTAAAGTGAACTACTATTGCATTTGTAGCTAAAAGCTACCTCACTAATATTACTTAGAAACATTTGGTGCATGGGAAGTATTTTGCCTCTGACAACATTTACAGTAGTTAAGCCAAATAGAAGTGGGCTGTTATTTTCCTGCTAATGAGATGGGATCCTGGCCATCATTCTATTAAACAATAAAAGTGCTAATAGCCAATGCGAAGGATCTTTGGTGTCTATTTTTCAGTTGACACCCAAAGAAATATTTGAAATGTTTATTTCCTATATTGTTTTTAGTATTACAATGGTTTAATTAATCATGTGTTTAATTAGCAGTGTTTGGCTTACTTGGGAAAGCTCATTGTTATTATTGTACTTGGGTTTTAATTACTTTTTCTTTCTCTTTCCAGTGGCTTTTCATGGTCTCCCTGTGAAAATCAAGAAGGAACCCCATAGCCCATGTTCGGAACTTGGCTCCGCTTGCAGTCAAGAGCAACCATTCAAGTTCAGTTATGGGGAAAAGTGCCTGTACAATGTCAGGTAAAGCAATCAGTTTGCAGTGAAAACTGCTGATTTAAATGAGGACTGACCAAAGAGTAATAAAACCATAATAGAGATCTTATAAAAGTTACCTCTTCAGCAGATAACAGACTGATGAGATAATGCGTTTAGCTGATGAACACTGATGGAGTTGTTTACAGTTGTATCAAACACTTACATAACCATTTTAAAGCAGTGTTTTTCATCAAAATGCATATTCTCCATTCCTTCTCCATGGGAGATAGACAGACTTTAAAAACACAGGGTGCAAGTGTGAAATAGAAGGAAGGAGTGTCTTGTTTTCTGTGAGTTGTGTTGAAAGTACTTTCAAAATGCATTACACACATTAGGAAAGAGAGAGAGCTGTGTAACAGGCAAGAGATTGGCAGGTCTGAGCAACACATTAGGTATTTGACAAGTTTTGCAGGTGTTATATGTGTGTATTCACGGGTGATTACAATTTAAAATAGTATTTCATTAGGGTCTGCATTTTTGTTACCTGTTCAAAAGCAAGTTGTCTTCTTTTATAAGGATAGATAATAAAAGCTTTAATTATTTGTGAAGGTGGAGGGGTTTGATACTACTGCATTCTTTATTGACTTTCTTTTGGTTTGCACTTATGTGTCACTACTTTTAGCGTCAGCAGTGAAGGGTTTCTTATTGACATTTCAGTCTATTTTAGAATCTTTCATCTAGCTTGTGAGTTTTTGTTTTCATTAATGTACTGTCAGAACTGTTAGCACTTAAAACATTTACATTTAACTTTTTGGATATGAAAGGGGGAATTAAAAAAAGACTGGCACCTTTGCCAGTCATAGAAGAGTGATTCTGATTTCAAAAATCAAATGCATACATTGGTGGATTTGATGGGTGTTAGGGGACCTGATGTAAGAAAGTATCCAAGTTCGTGCTTACTATCTGCCTAGTGTCTGCATTTTTCCTGTTTAGAAAGAAGGATGATCAAAGTGCGTTCAAGTCCTTTCCTGATTTGGGACACCTTTGAAAATAGCATCTGTGTGTTTGCAGGACCAGCACTTTATTTTTGAAGAGGGGGGGTGGGGGTGGAAATCTGTCGGGAAAGGCTGCTGACATCCTAGTGTGGGTAGTTAAGCCAGAATACCATTGTTTTTCTGGGTCAGATCCCTTTCCTCTAGCTGTATTGTTTTACTGTCTCACTTTGTGGTTTGTGGAAGCTCTAAAAAAGAATCTTGACAAGCACTGCTGGCTCTTCATGCTCATGTCCAGGTGCTTCTACTTTTATGTATTTTGTGTATCTTCTGTTAGAATGTCACTGTAAGATTGAATCCTTTAAAAATACATTTCTGTGCCCCAGAGAAGAAAACGCTGTTTTGAACCTCCTGCCTCTAACATGATTTTTTGTGCGTTCTTTGCAATGTAAATTAAAGAATTCCTCTGCCCCAAACTGGTTAATAAGGTAACTATAACAAAAAGCTTATAAGTATGACACGTGGGGTTTTTTCTGCATGTAGTTACTGCTTTTTTTTTTTTTTTAGCAGAGAAAATAACCTGGCCTTCTTTCCCTTTGCCTTACTGATAGTGCCTATGATCAGAAGCCACAAGTGGGAATGAGGCCCTCCAACCCACCAACACCATCCAGCACTCCTGTGTCACCACTGCACCATGCCTCCTCAAACTCAGCTCAGACTCCTAAACCGGACCGGGTTTTCCCTACCCATCTCCCTCCATCCCAGTCCATTCAAGACAACAGCTTCCCTATGGACCACAGGTAAAACACAAAACATGCGGGGGACCCCTGCAGAAAGTATTTCAGTTGTGGCTGCAAGTCTCTTATATAGGGTAGCACTGGCTCCCTGCCCACAGCTATCCCCTTTCGGGTTGGGGGACCAGTGTGAAAAGCAGCAGGGTTCAGAGTGTCAGAAATATGTGCGTTTTATGAAAGGCTGGCACCTGGCTTGGTGCACTTCACTAGGAGTTCATCCTGGCAGTGGCAGAGTTTTAAGGACCTGCTTCTTCTGTCTTGTGAGGGTTATTACAGGGTGCTAGATAATCTCATCTAGGCTCTCTTTCCCACAAAAGGTTGGACCAGATAGCCTTTCAAAGTCCCTTCCAACCTGGGCTATTCTATGATTCACCTGAGGCTAGTAAGCCCTACGAGGTAATGAAGTCACTGGCAGGCATGATCCTGGCTATAAATATCTGGCCTCTTGCTAAGCAATTCACCTATCTAAGAGATAAGTGGCCACGTTATGATGTTACTGCTTCATTTTTCCAACCCTTTTTGAAATACAGCATTTCAAACAAAGTAAGATGCCAACATAAACTGTGCTTAAATAACATTAGTCTGAGTAAAAGCCACAAGAGCTAGAGACTAGAATTAAAGCTTAAGCTGTCCTTAAGTCACCCTGTTTTGTTTTGATATATTAGAAATCCCCAGACAACTGACTATCTTTCTTAGCTCAGTTTTGCAAGATATGGTCAGTGGATTTCCCTGATTTTTGAGACCAGATGCTTTTTGTGGAATTCCATTTATCCTAAACTTTATTGCATGAACATGTTTTTGTCTGCTGTGTTGTGTGACTGCTCTGAGCATTTAAAATTTCAGCTGTATGTAAAGAGATATATACGTTCAGAAACTCTACTTGTCTCTTAAACAGTAGCAAATTAAGAAGCACCTGAAAAGAAAATCACAGTTGTTGGGAGTGCGATTCGCCTGCTTCTGCTCTAATAAGGGCTATTATCTCCAGGGATTTGTGCAGATCGCTTCTGAAGGGGGTTACTAAGGTTTATATTGCTGCTTTATGCTCTGCTGAGATAGTTTTAAATATCACCCAAGGTTCTCTACAAGCCCTTCTGGTGGTGAAGAAACACTGAAGCGGCCCCTTCAGCCACCATAGTCACCGTCTTTTCCCCTGCCGTGGACTGTGGTCTAACCACACAGGCCTCCAGTGAAGCCAGGCAGCAGTTTTGATTACAGGATAGTGGATAAATGTATTTCTGTATATACACCAAAGTCAAGTTGTCAGGAGACTGAAATCTCCAGAAGCTAAATGGCTTCTGTGCTGAGAGCACTAATAAGTTTTTTCAGATGAAAAAAATCTTTTGTTTTAGTGCAACTCGTAAAGAGACTGCAGAAGCTGAATGTCAGCCCTAATTTGAGTAATTATAGAGTTTTGCATACACCTTAGTATATTTTTCTATACCCATAACACTTGCCCTGCATAAGCTTTGTAGGCTCTTTATATGATTCTTTTCCCCCTTCCCTGTCTTTGATATTCATGTTCTTTAGGGCATTTTGCATTAATGCTTCTTTTCTGTAATAGAACACCATGTGTTCTGGTGAAGTCCAAAATAGCTGACTCAGGAAAAAAAAAATCTCATTTGTCTCCTTTTTTAAAAAAAGGTATAATTATGATGGAAGATATATTTCCTCATTTTCTTATTTATTTTCAGTCTTCTCACTTCCAGTTGTTGGAAGCAAATGTGTACTTCATATTTTAGTGAAATTCAAATCTTCCGGATTTACAAGGTGATATACTACTACAATGAGTGTATTCAGAAAATGCCATTTAAATAAATGACCTATTTATGTAAGTTTGTATTTAATTCTGTAACTCAAGGCATATTTCTTTGGAACATGCATTGGTGGCATAAGACAGTGTTAGTATCTAGAACATACAGCCCATACATCTTCATACAGAACATGAATATATGAACGATAAGTGGTCCTAACAAGTACCAACAGGAATCAAATCCACTTGTATAAACAAATGGCTTGATTCCATACAAAGCTTCCAGTACAACAAGTATTATTAACTTCCTTTGAGGCTTTGTGAGTGAGCCTGTTTCTTATTTTAACTTCAAGTTGCAATTTTCTGATTCACTCCTTGACAGTTCTTAATGATAATTTCTGCTTCTTTTTTTGGCTAATGAAAAAAGGAAAAGAGGGAAATGAATGCAGTGCCAGTCAGCCTAACTGTTTCATAATACATTTGAGTTTCTAAGTTTATTTTCTGCAGGTGTAGGTGGAATTACAAAACCCAGTGTTACAGTGCAGTACTCTTTCTACTGCAAAATATAATATTTACAGCAACATTAAAAAAAATAATTTTATCTCCCTACTACATTGTAATAGTTTCTATCTCTGTAGCTCCCACTGTATTTGCAATTAAGCTATGACAGTAAATATTTGTCAGACCAAGTTCACAGCAGTATTATGACAGATGTTAACAGAGTTTAAATTATTTCAGAAACATGTTACATACGAGTTGATAGTCAAGAATTGTATTGCCTATGCAATCAAGCCCCTGAATTCTTCTTCACTCGCCCAGTTTGCTCCAAGAGAATGTCTGCTTTTGCTTGCGTGAACCAAAGTCGGTTCAGATCCAAAGTACAGGAAGCTGAAGAATTAGTTCTTGATTCTTTTTTAGTTCTTTTTTAGTGTGACAGTGAGAAATTTGCAGAGAAAGGCACAGTTTGTTCTGTTATTTTATTTTTTTTAAAGTGTATCTTGTTTGTGATGAGCGATCACAAGACAAGTCGGCAGAACGTTGCATCTGCTGTGGATCAGTGCAGACACAATATTACTACAGTGATGGTTATCACTACTGTGGTAATCTGCAGCTCACAACAGAAAGACTTCATACAGTTCATCAGGGCACAGTGGGAAAATAGCATCCTTGTATTTTTCTGTATGCTTCTGAACCTGCAGATGTCCAAGTAATTACATTGGAGCCTTTTAGTTCAGGTAGATAAGTTTTGTGGAAAAAACAACAAAGATAGTTTCTTGAGCCGTGTTACCTGTAAATGAAGTTAATTTAAAACTGAGTTCTTAGATTTTGTGCCTACTGAAGAGCATTTGGGAGTAGTGAATGGCAGCGTGGCTTGTATGGATGACTTCTTTCATGTAGAAATGAGCAAGGGAACAAGTTGAGGCGGGGGGGGAGATTCTTAAGCATAGTTTCTCTTAGCAAAAATTTGCACCCTGTCCTTTTTCTGAGGTGCTCACGTTCCCTTCCCGTTAGAGCTGGAATGCCAGTCTTGCAGGTCCATCTCCCATGGCACTGTCCCCGAGGGAACAGAACTGTGGCCTTTTACCATGGAATGATTTCAGATGTTACAGCATACAATAGTTTTTATTCAAAATGTTTGTATTTTTTGTAGTCAGAATGCTTTGCATGTAACAGTAAGAATGGTAAGAGTAAATTAGAGTACAAGAAATATGTCGCTAATACTAGTGAAAGAACAGAGAACTCTTCCTAAGCCCCTTTCGTATTACCGAGGATGTCAGTCTTTCTCCTGGTTTGAAGCTGGTGCATTTCCTGTTTGCCTCTTCTGTTGAGAGAAGATGTTGAAAGCAAAGAGAATGGTGGTGGGGACAGTTTTTAGAGCTGGTATTAATAGATGAGTTATTTGTTTCTTTGCTTGTTGCTGTTCCGCAATGCAAGTGATCCTGATGGGAGCACTTGGCATGATCGTATTTGGTACTGAGAAAGTGATACAGCCGCTAACCATGACCTGTGAAGATCTTTGGGAAATGGAATGTAGCTCAAGTCCTTTACATGACCTCTCTAACTTGTATCGTAGATTTCGACGCCAGCTCTCTGAGCCTTGCAATTCTTTTCCACCTTTGCCTGCAATGCCAAGGGAAGGACGTCCAATATATCAGCGCCAGATGTCCGAGCCAAACATCCCTTTCCCACCTCAAGGTTTTAAGCAGGAGTACCACGATCCAGTTTATGAACACAACGCTATGGTTGGCAGCGCAGCCAGTCAAAATTTCCCCCCTCCTCTGATGATTAAACAGGAACCTAGAGATTTTGCATATGATTCAGGTAGGTGAGACTCTCTTTTCGTTCTGCATAGTAAAGTAACAAATGAGTCTAAGCCAGTGCTATTGATGTTTTGACTGTATGAATTAATTGAAACTTACTCTTTTGGCTTCTAAGTCTCCCGAACTAATCTGTGTCTGAGAGAGCTTACGAAGTAGTAAGATTGCTACATAGTACAGTGTTATTTGCGCCATTGTTGCTTGCTCTGTAAAGGATTTCATTTTCCAGAACTCTGTCCATAAAGTGCACAGGTTAAAGAAGCCAGAGGGGAAAAAGAAGTCATGGGTGCAAAACTGAGCTTTGCTTAAGAGGGGTCTTGTTCTGTACTATCTCATTTCTGACCTCTGAATTTGTGTGCTGTTTTATGAGATCTTTCATTTGTCTGCCAGAAATAGAGGACTCTTTCTCCTCTTGCTTGCACTACTTTAAATCAGGAGTAACTCCGCTGAAGTGGGGTTTATACAGCTATAAAACCAATGAGGGAGAAGAATCAGCCAAATTGGTGTCAGCTTCTCAGTTTGTGCATACTGCTGTGTTTTGTGGAGGTACATAATCTGTGATGCCAGGTTGCTGATGTAGAGAATACACTGTTGCTATTAATAATGTTTATTATGATTGTGCTTATAGGGCGACTGGAATGGAGCCTTATTGCTCTATGGACAGTAGAAAATAGAGGAGGTAGAGGCAGAGCCTGCTCTCAATAGCTTCTGGTCAAAATAGAGAAGATAAGCCATAGAAAGGATAAAAACATAAATCAAAGGAATAACAATGTAAATGTTTGCCATGATTTAAACATAATATTTATATTATACTTGCAAAAAGTGAGAGAGAGTTCGGGAAGCAAAAAAGGAGTTTACTAATGAATACCAAGTAACAAGGAGAAGGAAGCTGGAAGGGTGGGATGGTGAGAAGTTGGGATTAAAACAGCATGGAGTGGGCTAGGTCAGCTATGCAGTTGATCAGTATGGAGTCAAGAAAATGCAATCAAAACATGTTTTCCAGTTTTGGTGTAAGTAATTTCTGCAGCTGCTTCTCAGTCACTGCCTCTGTCCTGATTCGCGTATGTCACACTGTTGAAAGGGAGGGATTTCAGTGAGTCCTTACTGTGCTTCCGGAGCAGGGTACATTGCTTTCATACACAGGCACGCTGAGTTGGGCAGGGGGAATGGGTGACCCTGTCTGGCTTCAGTCTGACGCTCTTTTCTTCTGGGTGCTGCAGTACCTGCAGTGCATTCCTACTGGTTCAGTCTCTGCTGGCTAGATGCTTTTGCAGTTTATTTCCCAAAGGCTACATGGCAACTGAGTTGAGGTCTCCTTTGAAAGTTTAGCCCGTGACAAACTATCTTGCAATTTGATACAGTGGAGAACTGTTTTTTATTTTTTTTTTTTTCTGTAGCTAACTTAACATTGTCTATTTAGTGGAGTATTTTGTGATAGCCTTAATGTAAACTCTCTATGTTAGAAAAAGGAAATGTGGAAAGTAGAGCTGCTTTCTGCTTTCTTATTCTTGACAAGCAAAGAACCAATCCTTAGATAAATTTGAGTTAGGTCTATACAGGGAGGGGACCAGGAGTGAAATATTTCTCCAAGTTGAAATATAAGAAAAGATGAAAATGGGTTCAGATAGGAAGGATCAGATCTAGAACTCACTCTGTTCATTGATGAAGGTTCTGAGATACGTCCCTTTGACAGTCATGTGTCTTTAGTCTTACAGAGCAGCATGGGAGAGACTGTCTGCATAGTTAATGTGGCAATGGATAATAAATGGAGGACTGCAGCTTCAGGCACTGCCAGTCCCTTGCAATCTTCACAAGTACTGTTATTCATCCTGCTAAATTAAAGGCTGAAAAAAGGCCCTTTTGTAAGCATGTTTCATATTTGGCTAGGAAGTGGGATCTCCTTATGCATACTGTTACTTTAAATCTTGGTTGGCTGCTAGCATTCATCTTTCTTTAGAATATTCTTTATGGAAAAAAGCACGAAATTTTACTCTGAAAGGAAGATGCACAAACTTGTATCCAGTCCTCTCATGCCTTTTTTTGTGTGCCAGCAAGAACAACAATCCATTTTATAGCAATGATGTTCAAGCAAAATTGTTTCTTTTGTAGATGAATAATTAGTTTTTAAAAATGTAATAGCTGTGTAACCAGTGGTCATGAAAAATTAATCTGTTGGTATCAGGAAGTACTTTTATTGGCCTCAGAATCACTGCATTTAAGTTGACACATCTGTACACTCCATAAATTGCAGTCAACTACTGTGGTCTACTGATATTTTGTCTTGTTACCATCTGTTCTCTAGAAACCATCATTCTCCATCCTTGCTAAGAGTACATTAAATAACCCCTTAGGAAACATAATGTATTTGTCACTGAATCATTGATTTCATTTTTCACCTATGGAGGGAAAGAGGAACGCCAGAGTGAAAAGTCTTTTTTGCACAGTATTTTATTGCAACTCAGACAAGAATATAGAAACATATTTAAAAAGTTCATTGTAATACACTGAGATGTTCCTTTTGGGATGTTTTTGAAAGAGCCTCATAAAAGTTCATTGCTTTTGTGCACTATACTTTTATACTTCGTGGGAAGTTGGTGAATGAAAAGCATTATTATGGAGTGATTATAACTCTATTAAAACATGACATTAATTATGACATGGGAAATGGCAGATCAATTAGTTGTAATTGTAATTGCAGGTATGCAATTTCTACTGTGGAATGTTTGAGATAATGGAAAAAGAAAAATGTCAACAGAGTAGCTCTTCCTTATCCATCCACACTTCTAGAAGTCACAATGCATCATACATGTTCGATCAATTATTTTCTGCCATGGGTTTTTTTTTTTTTCATGGCTGCCAGTCAAATGTATTTAGTATTTGATGCTATATCTAGCAACTTTAAGCACAAAGATGCAGCCAAGAACATGCAGAGCTGTGAGATTTTGCATCATTAATGAATATACTACAGAAGGCTTCCCAAGACCTTTGTTTACAAGCGCTAATAGTTTCTGTACAGTTAACATTTCTAGAATTCAGTTCATGTATTCAGGTACTTAAACAAAAGGCCAAACTTGAGATACCTCATTTATTCTGGGATTTATTTTTAAGCAGGATCTTTGCAGGCTTGATCCTCTCTACTTAATGTAGCATATTTGCAAATATACTAAGGTATGACTCTCGCTGTGTGTGTTATCAATTAATACTAAAAATCTAGTTTTAAAATTACATTTTAAGTTATTAAATTTAAATGCCATGTTTTGTTTTGCCCAATTGAAGTAGTTATTTTAGTTGGAAAGTTCTTTTGTGACCAGATCTTTGGGAGATAAGTAGAGGAGGAATTGTTGCTTGCACGTACTTATTCCTGATTGCCAGGAATTTATCTTTTGAAATCTAGATAGATTCAGTCTTTCCTGAGCGGGTTAGAGGCATTAGTAGGGCTTTTCTCACAGTTACATTTCAGAGTAGCCTCACGAATAATACGCTTGAATGGACCTTAGGAAATTTGGATTCTCTCCTTGTCACTTCCAAAGTTTTCTTCCAAGATACTAGTCACATCACTTAAAGAATGAACTATCCAGACAGAATTGTTAGCCTCCATGTCTTGCTTTCTGAGTTGTTCATTGCTTTAATTCTTGAGGCCTCACAAGCAATAAATACCTTGTGTTGGCATGTGAGAAAGGATGGAGAGCTGCCCCTCTGTTCAGAGGGATGAGAAGAGGCAGAGACACACATCAGCTGTATATACCTGTTTATTTTGAGTACCCAGTTAGGACTAGATAATTTTAAAAGAACATTATGTATTACAGATTTTCAAGGCTTAGCTCCTAGGGGCTTTCTTTGTATTTCTAGGCGAGGAAGTACAGGAACATCAGATTAGAGTCCCTGTTGAAGCACTGCAAAAACAAGAAATGCATAATACAAAAAGTCTGACAGAAGCGACGTGACTACTTTGGAAAACTTCGTTGGGGCTGGAATGGGCTTTGTTGGGGTCTAAAATTGACCATTCAGCTGTATTAATCTTGAGGTCATCTTTTGCTTTCTTGAAATATTCTGCCTCATTAAGTACACAACTTCTGCCTCTGTAACAGATGAAACAGGGGCTCCACCTGCAAATCTGTTTACAGCGTGGCTCTCCCTCCCCCAGTTTTGATCTGTGCATTCAAGAAACAAGAGTTCCAAGGCAAAAGGCTGTATCATAATTTATTTGCAACAAAGGAGTTGTGTCAAGGTTGCCCAGGAAGTTGTAATTATGACACTTCTTAACCTCCTAAGTTTGCTCTGACTGATGTAGCATGTTGTTGGCGTTTTACCATCCATGTTATGAATGTGTATTTACCTAATGACTGGGAACAGAATAAAAAGCAAGAGTCCTTTCAAAGACCTAATGTGTTTTTTGAAAAGCAAATCAATGTGAGTTTACATGGAAAGAGATCTCTAGTAGCACATTCTTCCCTAGAGATCAACTGACATCCTTAAATTTGGGAGTTTGCAGAACAGCATAAGAGAATGTGTTGAAGTAAAATTTCAAGGGGGGAAAAAAAATTATTTATTTATTGGAAGTCCATTTATTTGCAGATTGCTTTTTTTTTTTCCTTTCATTTTTTAAACAACAGTTGGATATTCTATTGTACTACTTAGACATTTGGAGATGCTAGTATGAATGTAAAAAAGAAATCTTGTCAGTCAGAGTCAGTGCGGGTTTGCTTTTTCCAGGATGTTCTCTAGTACATTGACCAGTGCAGCATTTAAAATGACACAACTCCTGGTGCTTCTACTGATGTCTTGAATTATATTGGCTAATTTTTGTACAGTGCTTTGAAAATGTAAAGTGCTGTATGAGTGCTAAGTATTATTACTACTATTATTCCCTTGGGAGATTATTTCACAGATTAATAGACTTCACAGTTAAGAAATATTTCTTGATCATAAGCCTAAATTTTCCCTTTGATCAGTTCCACTCCCTTGCTCATAGCTACACCTCTTTGGCTCATCCTAAACAATTCC